CTCATCCCCCCAGCCAAGCCCGCCGACCCAGCGCCATCCCCATCACCTCAGCGCCTTCCCCGCCCTCAGTGCCCGCGCCTCCTCAGCGCCTTCCCCGCCCTCGGCGCCCCCCGCCGCCTCAGCGCCTTCCCCTGCACTCCCCGGCAGCGCCCTCCGCCCAGCGCCCGCCGCCCGCCTCGCCGCCATCTCCACGGCCCCAGCCCGCCACAGGACCCCGGCCCGCCCGCTCGGGCACCGCGGGGCTGCCGGAACGAAGGGAGGGCGAGGCGGAGGGGCGGCGGGAGCGGGGCTGCCCGCGCTGCCCCTGCCTCGCCGCGGGCTGGGATGCAGAACCACCAGTGTCCTGGAGCGGAGCGGGGATGGGGGCACTGTGCCTCACTTAAGGGGATCTGTGTCCAGAACCGCTGTTCTAGGTCTGTTGTGGGGGGCCCTCTCGCAGGAACCCAATCCATTCTGGGGGAGCTGGTGGAGTGGTGGGCCGCATACACTGCCTCATAGGACCCCAATTACTGTCAGAAAAACGAAAGGAAAACGATTTAGTGAATATCCAGTGGGAGATATATATGAAGTCCACTTTCAAAGAATCAGCTGGAGGAGGTTGAGGAAGCACTGGAAGGAGTGAAGGATGAGCATAAAAAGGTGATTTAGAAGGAAGAGTTAAGGGAAGGAGTGAGGAAGAGCAGCAGCAGCAGAGTTCATAGGACATGACTTATGAGAGATGTTTAAGTATTGCTCAAGGCAAATACTCGACCGCAAATTCTCCTGGAAACAAATCTACATTCTGTATTGAAGAATGGAGGACTCTACTGAGGAAGGTGCTTAATTTTCCTTGAGAAACATGCACCTGCGGGTTAGTCTGTGTTGTCCTCCGTATCTGCCCATCTGACCTGACCAATTGGTAGTTCCAGTTCTGAGGGGGAAACTGATCACACACAGAGTTTGCAACCCTGCAATTCCCTGTGAAAAGCAAACACTAGTCCAGTAGGGTAAGCAAACCCGTCCAGGACATCCAGAGGCGATCTGTGATGCGGCAGCCTCTGGTGATGGAATTGGCTTTGGATTTAATAGTCTTTCTAGGTTTCTGTTTTTGTAACTTTTATTCACTGTGTATTCACAGCAATGAAATTTAAGGCCTCAAGGGACCATCCAATTTGCCTACTTCTATATGACAAGTCCTTTCACATCTACCTCCACTAACACAAACTAAAAGCCAAGCTCCTTCAACAGGAGGTAGGCTGCCATGAGCCTTATTGCTCTCTCCAATCAACAGTGTGTGTTTCCCCACTTACTTCTATACAGATAGGGTTAAGACATGAGATGATTGTCTAAGTGGTAAACTTCTGCAGACTGGTAGCTCTCCAAGTGCAGGTCAGATTAAGCTATTTTCTCATTAACATGGTCAAGTTCTATTCAGAGTTTTATTTATAATACAGCCTTCTTTGGCGGAGCAGCATGTCTTCATTTTCTCCAGGTACGAAAGCTTGCGCTGGGCTGCTTTGAAAGAAAAAGCATTTGAATGGCCTACCCTGCTACAGAGGGCTCTCTGAGTTTATCTTGATTGCTGTTTTCTACCTTACTCATTCTTATGCCTTGAAGATTTTAATAGCAGAAATCTTACACATGATTTCAAATCATAAATTGAAGCATTGAAGAACACTGGGTGGAGAATTGTCCCCCCAAGCACCTAATTAGAAGGGCTAATATCAAACAAATGACACTTCTTGATATGTCAACCCATCCTCACTTGAAACATTTGAAGTTATAAAGCTTTCTGAAAGTTACAGCATTGCCCTGAAGTGATTTTCAAGTCTACAACAGCCCTATGATCATCCTTAAATCAACATGCAATTTAAAGGACTGAAATGAAGCTGTTTGCCAGTTCCTATTTGCTATACAGCAACCTTGACTATTATTAAAGACAGTAATGCCAGTTACAGCAAATTTAAGCAATTGAAATTGGAAATGCTAACTACAGTCTAATGTTAGCTTTTCATCTATTTCATATAAACTACACAAAAATGTGAACTTCAAGTTGGACTGGGAATTACTGAAGATAAATAAACAGCTGCCTACTTCCAATGGTATGCAGGTAGCAAGTTTACTGATTTACTTGTTGGTCCTAAAACCACATATATTGAAGTTAGGTAGAAGCAGGATCGCAACTAAAACATATCGGATAACTAAAGAAGTTTCCATCTTTTGGAACAGTTACACAAGCTCACAGCTTTAAAGTTCAATAGGTGTAGGGAGACTCAACAGGTAATCAAAATAATCAATTTTGATTAAGTTTAATCAATTTTGATTAAGATTAAGGCAATTAAGTTAAAAGGGAACTGTTAAATCTGCTAGTCATGTTGTTTGTTTATCTGAAAAGAGGGACACATTAGTTATTTTCAAGTATAAAACTTTGCTCCAGGTGCAGAATCTAAGACTAGTTTTAGGTGTCCTTCAGAGAGCACCTAGTTCCTCTCTAGAGCATCGGAAGTATTGAAATACTGCACTGTTAAGCTAACTCAAGTAAGTTTGATACACACCAAAGGGAACTTACACTTCCTTCCCCTTCCTGCATTACACAGCAGAAGGGATGTTCCGCAGTTGCCGAGGAGTCAAACACAGCAAAGGGAAAGTATAGGGAGTTTTGGCCAGCAGAAAACTGCACCAGCCACAGTGTTATGAGTGCCTGGAGGCACAAGCACACAAGAGGTTACAAAGACTATGCTGTCTGTAGCACAGCAAAGCTGATCTTTTTCCTGTAAGAAAAAAAAAAAAAAAAAAAAAAAAATTCTCATTCACTGCCTAGGAATGCTGGGTGCTTTTAAAGTCAGCTGGACTCTACGCTTTGTTTTACATCCTTCATCCCAGACATAAGAACCTATAAAACTTGCAAATAACGACATCAGTCTGCTTGGAAAGAAAGTTTTATTTATTTTTAAAAAACAAACAGCCTCTCTCACAGCTCATTCCTGTGCCTCAGATCAAGGCTGTGGAAGTCTTCCCTTGACCTATCATGCTCTTCTCCCATGGCCAGGCTGGGAAGAGGGTGGAAAGTGCCAAGTGTTAAGGTGCTAAAAAGCATGTGATGTTTCCAGTCACTCAAGTGCTGTTGGCCTGTTCCTGCTCAAAGAGGGCCATGGCTAAATGTGAGCGGGATGCAAGTCCCTCTAGGTTGCTGAGCATACAGTGATGGTATAACTCCTCACTCAGTCGTGGATTGCAGCTCCTCAGTGCGTATTTCTGCACTAGCCCTGGTTCCACAGCTCGAAATAGGTGCAGACCAGAATAGTGGAGGAAGACATCAAAAACCTCCATGCTCTCCAGCATTTCATCCTGATCTAGGATGTCAGCTGCTAGCTTGGTACGTGCCGTCATATAGTCAGAGTTATAGAAGCAGGCCTCGGCAAAGGAATGTCTATCAAAACGACCATCCCTCAGAAAGTCGGTGCTGGAGGAAGCAGCTTGCTCGCCATGGTACACCAGTGCAGGATTGAACTCTTGGAAGTGCACGGGAAAAAAGACCTGCCAGTTGCTGATAGTATTCATGCGGCAACGGTTCAAGAACTCCATGTTGATTTCTGTCCAGACGCTGGCTAAGAAGAACAGGGTGTCCACAGGGTGCTTCTTTGACACTATATCCATGAGTTTCACTTGAGATGGCACCTCTGTTTTAACACTAATCCAGGGGATTTTAACTTCTGCATAGCGTTTCTCCAGCTCTCCTACCATAGCTTTGACTGCAGCGAAAACATCTACCTGGCTGACTCGTTGGGCATCATAGGGATGATAGATAAAAAGCAAGGTCAGCAAGGCATTATCATGGGTGTCCAGAGTATTCATAGCAAACATATCCAGGAAGTTTGCTACAAAATCCAGGTCCTGCACAGTCAAGGGAAGCACCAATTGCACCCGTGTGGCCTCTGTTACATATGGCATGGGAATGATTTCAACCTTACTTAGGGGACGCACCAAGCTCACTCGTTTGACCAGGACATGAGTGTGACCCTTTTGGGTCACTGCCTCCAGCAGGAGATCCAGTGTATACTCCATACCCCGTGTGGGGTCAAAGCGCCGATAGCCATTCAGCAACTGCCGCTTGCTGAAGCGGAGCAGAGGCTGGTAGCGGCTGTTGAGCTGCTCGAGGGCCGATTCAATAATGTCACTGACATCTGCTTTGCTGGCTCCAGAGAGCTCACACTTTGGTGAACCGTCAGGACAGGAGAAGAGGTGCTGCTCAGTGAAGTAGTCCCAGCTGATCACCTCAAAACGGGACTTGGGAAGAAAGGGGGCATTAATGCCTACAGGCCACGTCAGGCCTGCCTCTCCTGCAGGGGTCAGTGACGTCAGGTTCCTGATCTGCATCTGCACCAAGAGAGAACCTGTACAGATCACTGCTGCTTTCTCCAGAGGCCTAGTCCATGCCCGACACAGACCTGCCTCGCCACCTAGAGCTGTATTCCGGCAGCAGCACATCAGCAGCTTTGGATACCATGGTACCAGACATGCTGCTTCCCCCTGGCTCACAGTAACATACACAATAGAAGCAGCAGTGTTCTTTCACAAAGAGGAGCATAAGAAAAACCTGCCTGGCCCAAGAGTGTCCAATGATATCCCTCACCCACATACCTGGAGGTCCTGAATCTCCCGATAAGCCCTGTCCAGCTGGATCCTGCTGAAGTGCTTGTGAAGCCGATACATGAGAGTCACATCGGAAACAGGGTGCACAGCAAGAGCCACTTGGAACTCCTCTTCATCCTCCTTCTCTGGCTTGGCATTTTGGGCCAATTCATAGGTGTGATAGTGCTGGCCCTGCAGTGGACAAGAGTCACAAAACTGGCCTGGAACTGCAGATTTCACAGTGAAGCCTTCATGTCAGGATGTGTCCACCCCTCTCTACTGGCTGCAACATCCAGGGTCTAATGTACAGTACGCTACCCATCTGCTCCACTCTGCCTTTTTTTTTTTTTAAATCTTGGTAACAACATGCTTTTTATCCCTCCCAACTGTCTCCTAACACCCGACATGATCATTTGCCAGTAGGCTGCAAAAAAAGGGACTGTCTCAATCTCAACCTCTCCACTTAGGTTATGGTCCTTCGCCACACCCACCCCACAGAGCCTCTCCCTGCGCTGTGCATCACAGCAGAGGTTCACAGAAAAGCCCATCTACAGGGCAACAGGGACTAAAAAGGAAGATAGGCTTTGTCATATGTAGCAAACACAAAACTCTGGGGAGGAGGGTAGTACCTGAAGCTGGGAAGTACAAGTGATGCCAAGGAAATCAATGATGCAACGTCCTAGCCACTCATCTGGGCGCACACTGAGGATCTCATTGCGGCAACTGTCCAAGTGCTGATGGAGCTTAAGTAGCAGGCTACGGGAAAGCAGGTAGCCAAAGCCCCCATGGCAGTAGCGAGCCTGCTCATCTCCACCAATGAACTCCTCTGCTCGGCCCAGGTAGACGTCTTGGTTAATACTCAGGTGTGTCACCAGAGCCTTGACCTGTTCTGCCTGTGCGTACGTGTCATCCTGCATGATGTAGAACCAGTCATAGTCAGAACCAAAGTGTTGGTGGATGTAATGCATGGTCTCATACATCAGCCAGATGGGACGCTCATCCCCATGGGCCACGAGCACCATCCCGTGGGGCACCTTAGCGCTGCGCAGCCCTGTGAAGTAGAGCAGGCGGGGGAAGTGATGGGCCACCGTCTTGTTCACAGCCACTGCCAAGGTGTTCAGGGTGGCTTTGGAGGTCAGTACAGCCACAAAGAGTCTCTCATGAAATCCCAGTTCTGTCTGGATGTAGCGAGTTCTGTTAAGAAAGGACAAGCCTATGTTGTAAACAGCCATAAGACAAAAAGGAGGACCACTTTCCAGGCTCATGGTAACTTCAGCAAGCAAAGACTTCTAAGTTCACCAATGGTTAAAACAGTTAAACCTAAATCTAAAGCCCTAGAAGCAGAATCATTTGTAAAAAATTCCATATGATAAAAATACTTGCCTCCTTCAAGAATATTCACATGATCCATTCAAGATGGGAATCCGCACAAGTGTAAGCCTTAAAATAATCATTTGGAGCAAACCACTATTAAGTTATACGCATTTTTATAAAGCACTCAGAATTTTCCTAATCAATAGACTGATTGGAACATATCAAATCCTTCTTCAAAGTTTGTTGGACTCCGACAATAAAAGAAGGAATAAGATTCCCATCGCCTTGCCTGGAAGGGATCTGTTGCGATAACGTCTCTGCCTGTGTGCGGCACTGACATCCACCCCGGCATCTCCTGCCTGCAGGACCTTCCTTCAGAGCAGCCGGGTCGCTGCCAACGGCCGTTCCCGCCCACGCCCTGCCCGCAGGGGGGCCCGAGCTCACCTGAGCACCTTCCTGTGCGGCTTGTTGGGGTCCCGGGCATAGGGCACGATCCGCGGCCTGAACTCCTCGCGCTCCGGGCCCGGAGCCTCACGCTCCAC